ACTCTTTTGTAGAATATGAAGAAAAATTGGCTTTCGAAGAATTACTTAACGAAATATTGTGCCATGGTTCACCATTTCGAAAGGAAAGCTGGTTTTGCCTATTTTTGCTGCATTTCTTAAAGTATGGAATCTTGCTCTGGTAATGTCTGTAACAGCACAGTTTCATGGGGGTCGCAGAACGATGAGTCAAGGACTGTTTCGCACAATTTAAAAGTCTTCCCTACTTGGCAATCCTCCTTCGGTTTCCGGTGGGAGCATATCACGAATTCCTTTCAACCAACTTTTCCGTCGAAATGGAGAGTCATATCACAATCTTCTGTAGAATTCCAACTTGCTATTTTCATAGCTTTGGCGGCTGGCAAGTATACGCATGCATTTACATGAGCTTCGGTGCTGTGGGCTCAGGCGTTGCGTTGATATCAGAGCGATTTGCTCAACATGAAGGCAAGAACGGAGGTCTTCGGCGAGTGTCTCTCCTCAACGCGTCAGAGACAATTGGTAGGTGAAAGATGAGCAAGGTCCGACGTAATCACGACATCGGCCCTGGGCGAGAGGGTTTCTGCAACCCCAAAACACGGCAACAACCACACGACGGATGCACTCGAGTGGGCATAAAGCGACGCCCAGCCCAGATCGGTGGGCAAGCCACTCAAGCAACTCGGCGACAGAAGAGCGAGGCAGGTGGCGCAATTAATTGCCCCACCAAAGTGGCGGCCCATTCATCTGTACCTAATCCAACCGGCTCGAATGTCATTTGCTGTGATCGTGCAAATAGACAAACATAACTATAAATACATGTCGAATCCCGGTAATAACACAATTTTCTTTTCGATGTCAAGACGTCATTTTCTAACTTGCCCATGTTGCCAGGGCGACCTAGTTGGACGCACCTTGTGTGAGAGCTTCTGCCATAGTAGCCAGCATGACCCCCAGCATCAGAATATGGATTCAGTACATTGTCAGACGTTTCACCGGCAGCATCAGTTAGTGCTGCCATTATCCGCACCAATCTACGAATTCGTCAAATGGACAAGTGAAGTCAACCGCGAGATTATCACCCCTCTTCATCTCCTGACTTTACCCTCTTATCGAA